TTTAAAAAAGTAAAATCAAAAAATTAACCTAAAAATAAATTAATAGTAAAAGAAATATATATTTATAACGATACTGAAATTACTATATAGTAAATATAGAATTCAAATGGAAAGTTTAACGGTCACCCAAAAAAACTTTACATGGTTATCTAAACTGGTTTTTTGAAAGTTTTTATTTTATTTTATTTTATCTATTAACAATAATAAATATACTTTCGATCGAGTTTAAATGAATGAAATTTTATTAAATAAAATTAATCAATCATTAAATAAAACTTTAATTATAATTAATCAATAATAAATAAATTGTTATTGTATTGGAAAAAAAAAAATAATAATGATAATAATTACTACATTTTTTTTTTCTTTTTAGCAAAAGAATTTATTGATAATAATCTGACTAAGAATGATGATGATGATGATGATGACTTCATATTTGTAACAATAAAGAAAAAGAAAAAGTTGTTAATCTGGTATTATTATTATTATTAAATAGAAGGGCCAAACAACAAAAAAAAATTCAAGTCTTCAAGATGATAGAAAAAAAAGAAGAAGAAAGTGGAAGTAACTGGACCTAGTATTCTCTTAACTTTCTCCCTCTCTCTCTCTCATTGGCAAGTCTGCACAACGAGTCCTCTTCTCTCTCTCTCTCTCTCTCTCTCTCTCACACACACTCAAACCATTCTTCCTTCTTCCTTCTCCTACTATAATCCATACAAAAAAATTACTTAGTATTATTATCATCATTATTATTTTTTCTTTTCGTATTGAATAAAGTCTGAACAAAGTCGATGAAAGATCAGTCGAATTAAAAGTAAGCTCGTGTTATAATAATAATAATAATAATAATAAAAAGAAATGTTTTTTTAATTTTTTAATAATAATTTTTTATTTTATTTTTTTTTTTTTTTTTTTAGTTGAGGGATAAAATAAAAAAAAAAAAAAAACATTATAATGGGTCATAAATTACATTTTCCTATTATTTGTGTTGTCTTTGTTGTTTTTGTTGTTGTTGTGGTTGTTGGAAGTGAAGAAGTGTTTAAACAAAGTCCAGGTGCATCTTCAAAAGTGGATTTTTTACCACCCTCACCGGTGAGTTTTCTTTATTATTATTATTATTATTAACTTTTCTTTCTTGCCGTTGCTTTTTTATAATTGATCAAAAGAAAATGGAATAATTTTCCTTTCTTATGTAATATTTTCAATCATAAGAAACCAACATTACAAATTCAAATAAAAATTTGTTTTTTTAAGGTATCCCAATGAAAAAATTATTAAACAAAAAAAAAAAAAATGAGTTAAACATTGTTTGTTATGTAGGAATCATTTTATGTATAAAAATTATTAATTAATAACTCAGGTTTTTAAATAAATTTGGGTGTAAATTAAAAAAAAAAAAAAATAATATTCTTGACGACGTTTTAACATGTCCGAAATTATTAATGATCCTAATAAATTTATTTATTTATTTATTTATGGATAAAATGACGACAATTTCGTCACCGTATTTAACGCAAACGTTTAATTATTATTATTATTATTATTATTACGGATAAAGAAAAGTAAAAGAAAATCGGTTTCGTTCAAATTCATTTTTTTTTTTTAAAAAATTAAATACATCAACAGGTTTTTTTTTTTATATAAATTTTTTATAAAAATAATAATAATAATAATAATTTTAAACTTCACTTTCTACCAAAAAAAATTTACCAGAGGTGAAATTAAGAGAAATTCAAGTTTTGCAATAAAAAAAAAATAAATTTCTTCTTCTCAAAACTGGATTTAAATCCATTTTTGAAAAAAAAAAAACGAAGAGAATAATATTTAAATAATCATTATTATTATTAATACGAATGGAATTGATTGAATAAAATAAAATAAAAAAAGTATTTAAATAAAAATAAATAAATTTTTTTTGTATTATATCGAAATGTTTTAAATGTAAAACCGGAAGTATCGGTAAAATTAACCTAAACGTTCAAATAAAAATTTCAGATTTTATAATATTGCGACAAACAAACAAACAAACAAACAAAAAGTTTAATTTCACGTATTTTTTTGTCGAAAGAATGAGAAAGAAATAAACTGATATAATGGAGCGGGGGGCGGGGGTAGGGGAGGGAAAATGGTTTCATTTTATACAAGATTGTATCTTTAAATAAACCCCCCTTCCCCTCTCTTCCCCTCCCCATGTTTTTTACATAAATGAAATTTTTTTTGACAATTTATTATACGAGAAATAATAATAATAATAATAATAATAATAATTTGACCGCCATTTTATTCTTCTTACGGAGTCGTTGATTGATAAGAGATAAGTTTTTTATTTTTGTTTTTATTTTCGCGTCGTCTGCTTCAACGTTTATATAATATCAAATTGTAAACAATTTTTTTATTTTCATTTCCTATTTAAAATATGTTTTCCCATACCATACCTAATTTTTCTTTTATCATAATAATAATAATTAGTGATAAAGCATTTCCGATTAATTCATACAAAAATATTCGCAAGGATATCATCAATTATTATTATTATTATTATTATTATCGTATTGCTTTCATTGGTTGTAATAAAATTTTATTAAAAAAGAAAAGTGAAAAACTTTCTTTTTTTTTTTTTTTGTTTGTAAATTAGCATATGGATGAAAAATTTTTTTTTTTTAACTTTAGGCTATTTTATTATCATTATTATTACTATAAACGTGCAATTAAAAAAAAACAATGAAAATTTTTCCTTAAAGTCCTAATCGTAAAAACCTTAATTATTAATTAATGACGTCATAAAATATAAACTTTCATTATTATTGATTAATAAGTTTAATGAGGAAAATTATCATTAATTGTTCTAAATGTTTAAATAAAAAAAAGGCTCGAGTGTTAAATTCGAAACCTCGTTTTTTCGTTTTTTATTACGTAAATTTTTTAAACAAATTAATTTTTTTGTTTTAAACTATAAATAAATAAATAAATAAATTTAGGTTTTAAATTTGTTTTTTTAAATGATTTAAAAAATTACGCAAAATCTTTTTTTTTTTTTTACTTTCACCTTTTCAACAACTAATATTATTATTATTATTATTATTATTACGCGTTTAAATATAATATATATAAAAAGTAAATAAATAAATAAAAATAAAATGTTTGCGCCATTTTACTAAAATTAAATAATAATAATAATAATAATAATAAAATTTATTATCTTTAAAAAAAAAAAAAATTTTTAAATGTTTTAAATACTCAATCATGCATTCACTTTTATTATTATTATTATTATTGTTGTTGTTGTTTTACAACAATTATATGTTCGTAATATTTATTTAAATAACGAAAGAAAAAAATGTTGCAGAAGACATAATTTTTTTATTACAAATGAATGAAATAATAATAATAATAATAATAAATAATTTGTGAGTTGCAAAATTATTTTTTAATGTTATTTTAACGTTTTTTTAGAAAATTGAAAATTTGTTTAGAAAAATTTTAATTAATAATTAAATTAAGATCAAAGGTTAACATTTAAAATTAATAATGAAATTAGTCTTATGTTTCATTTAAATAAATAAATAAATAAGTTAATAAATCGGG